GTGTATCTTGTAATGTATTACAAGCAGTGATGTTTTATTTTTATATATAATGATGTAGTGCTATTGCATTTCTAAGAATAGGTATTGTTAATTATATGCAATGATTTTCTTCCTCTTTTTTCTTTAATGCTATAGGTCATGGAGAGATACATGTACTCAATGTCAAGGAAATGATATTCATAATGATCTATGTCTCTTTCGATATGATTATCGGCGCCTATCTACTTGGTAACATTGCAGCATTGATTGTGAAAGGATCAAAAATAGAAAGGTTTAGGGACAAAATGGCAGATCTTATTAAATATATGAATACACACAAACTTGGAAAGCCTTTAAGTAATGAGATCAAGATATTCCAATCCCCATTCGAGCTAATGTACTATAAAATGATAAAAAAATCTTAACATGTCTCATTTATATTATGCTCAATAGCCCATGTTGACACCTAAAAATAAAAAAATAATAATAAAAACTTAAAAAACAGTCGTCCTGTTTGGTGTAACTGTTAAAACAGATTATAGATTATAGCTTAACAGATTATAGATTATGACTTTAATTAGAAACTGTTAATCTGTTTGGTGTAGCTGTTGGATTATAAATTTAAGTTGCTGAGTATTGTTTATTAAATAAACTGTGAAGTAGTTTTTTCAATTAACTTTTATTTTTTATTATTCACTATTTGTCTACATTTCTTATAATAATAATATTCTATAGTCCATTTGGGTCTTTTTCTATTTTTTAAAAAATAAAAAATAAAAAAATCTAAGAGTATAACTGTGAATTAACATGTCCACAGCAGAAGCTGATAATCAGAAGCAAGAGGTGAACAGCTACTTAGAATCAGCTTTTTTGACTTAAAATAAGTTGTTAGAATCAAAAACTGTTTGAAATAAGTTTAACCAAATAGTCCAAAATAATTTTTTAAAAGCCAGAAGCCATAAATTCGCTCAAAAAAGCCCCACCAAACACCCCTAGAAGATGCTGATTTAGTGCTTTAAAATAGTTGACCAGCCTCTTGCTTTTTGTTGGAAATGTGTACCTGCAGTTTGCTTCGTCACCCAAAAAAGAATCGTACGTTGTAGATTGATTTGCCCCGTGAACTGTTTCTTCTATGCAGATTTCACAAAAGTTATATGAGCCATATGTTAAAGAGGTTCCACTTTTCAATGGCTGCTCTTTGGGATTCATCAAACAAATTGTAAGCCTTTTTACTAATAGTAAACAAATGCTAAGATCATACCTGCATTGGTTTTACAACATCATGCGACATTTATTGGCTTAATTATCTGTGCAAGGTAAATATTTACTACTAGGGAGGTTAATGAATCTAGCAACTCCTGATCCTATACAACTTCCAACTTATTTAAGAGCATCAGTTTACTAATGTCTAGCTATCTTCAATGCATAGGATTTTTTGAGTAACCTGAATATTGTTTATTGCATTTCCATACTTGTTCTGTCCTTCTATATTATCTATATTATTTTAATAATTACTGGTTTCTTGGTATTCCTTTTAAAAATGTCTCCTCTGAAGTGTCATTTTTTTCATTAATTTGTTGCTTTTGTTGTCTACTATCATAATTTAATGTCATGTTCATTTCTACTAGAACATTATAGATCTGATAAGATTTGGAGCCTTATATTAATTTATAGTAGTCGGCCTTACTTTTTTTCTGATTTTCAGGCAACCAAAGTCCATGAGGAATTTTTCCTCCTAGGAGAAGTAATTATAGAGCAGGTAGATATAGTGGATCAATTGTATCTTGTTTGTTTTGGTGAACTGGTACAATTTTTTCTCATGGGCAGCTTGCTTAAGCCTAAATAGACTTGTAGGAACAAACGGGATCTCGATTAGATTTCCGGTGAAAAAGTTAGAAGGAAAATAGTAAAACACAAGACTTAAAAGGCTCGTTCGGGCGGCAAAATTGCGAAATGACCATCAAAACTTAACACGGGCAACTTGCTCATGCCTAAATAGACTTGTAGGAACAAACGGGGCCTCGTTTCGATTTCTAGTTAGAAAATTAGAAGGAAATTTGTAAAACACAAGACTTAAAGGGCTCGTTCGGGGGGCGAAATTACAAAATGACCACTGAAACTGCCAAAACTTGGCATGGGCAGCTTGTTCAAGCCTAAATAGACTTGTAGGAACAAACGGGACTTCGATTGAATTTCCAGTTAGAAAATTAGAAGGAAATTTGTAAAACACAAGACTTAAAAGGCCTAGTCAGAGGTCGAAATTGCGAAATGACCACCGAAACAGTCAAAACATCACACGGTCAGCTTGCTCAAGCCTAAATAGACTTGTAGAAACAAAAGGGACCTCGTTTGGATTTCCGATTAGAAAATTAGAAGGAAAATTGTAAAACACAAGACTTAAAAGGCCCGTTTATGAGGCGAAATTGTGAAATGACCACCGAAACCGCCGAGGGCAGCTTGCTCAAGACTAAATAAACTTGTATGAAATCAAAATTAGACTTCCCATTACAAAATTAAAATCAAAATTGTGAAATTCATACCGAGTTTTTTTTTTTTGTTGTTTTTTCTATCAATCTAATATTGTTTTTTTCTTTTTCATGTGACAAATTGTCAATGGTGAAAAATAGTTCGGGCTGCATCAAAAGATTTGATTTTGTGTTTTTGGAAATAATTTGACATAGGATTTTGGTAAATGACTTATGGGTTGGATGTTTAGCATCAAAATATTTAGTTTTGTGTTTTTGCAAATATTTTGACATAGAATTTTGGTAAATGACTTGTAGGTTAGTTGTTTAGCATCAAAATATTTGGTTTTATGTTTTTGAAAATATTTTGACATAGGATTTGGTAATGGATTTGTGGGTTTGATTTTAATAGTTTGTAAATATTTTGGTATGAATGTTTCAGATTGTTAGAGAATTGTAATTATGTTTATTAGGTTGTTTAACAGCTATTAATTTTGAATTATTATGAATGTCTTGCACAGGTGTATTACTATTTACATTGCATTTGTGTATGTATTGTGTAGAGAAAAACAAATGTTTTGGATTATTTTGAATGAGAAAATAATAAAAATCAAAATTTGTGCAATGAATTTTTAGTGACATGTGATATTTTGGTCGCTATATTTGGCGACAACATATTATTTTTGTCGCTAAAAGTTGGTAGCTATTCCAAGAAAGCAACCAAAACTCAGTTGTCTCTAAAAAGTTGATTTTTAACAACCAAATTAATTTTGTTACTAAATAGTACTTTCGACGATGAATAAATTCGTCACTAAAACTACATAGTCTATTCAAATCTTAACCTTTTAATGACAAATTAGAATTTTACAGCGACGAAAATATGATTTTTGGTGACCTATTTTGCTTGTCACTAAATGTCTACATACGGTGACAATTTATGATTTGGTCGCCAATACTTTTAGTGACAAGCCTTTGGCGACCAATTGAGTACTTGTCACCGATTCTTTTGGCGACAAAATTTGTACTTTTGGCGACTATTTTTTTGGTCACCAAATGTGCTTTTTGTTGTAGTAAATAAAATTACAATTGAAAGAAAAATTGTCAAACGGAATTGCCAATTACAAAAACCTAACATATTTGAACTGTTTTTTTTTAGGATTTGTTGATTGAGTACTTGTCACCGATTCTTTTGGCGACAAAATTTGTACTTTTGGCGACTATTTTTTTGGTCACCAAATGTGCTTTTTCTTGTAGTGAATAAAATTACAATTGAAAGAAAAATTGTCAAACGGAATTGCCAATTACAAAAACCTAACATATTTGAACTGTTTTTTTTTTAGGATTTGTTGGGTAGAATATTCATACAAAAAATTAAGATGATTGGATATCGATAGCTATATATTTGAATTATATTTATTTTAAAATAATAGACTACAAATATAATTTGAAAAATAATCATCTATTTTTTATAATATAAATTTAATTCAAACATATAGTCATTGATATCCGATCACTTTAATTTTTTGTATAAATATTATTGAAACGATATTAAAATCCCAACCTGAGAGAAGTTGAATCTCTTTCTTTCAATATATACGGTTACGAGCGTTACTATTTAAACTCAAAAATTATATCTGCTTTCTAGATTTGGTGATATATAAAGAAGATAATTAGTTAATAATTAAATCTTGTTTAATTATCAATCAATCATCTTCCTTACATATCATTAAATTTAAAAAATAAGAATAAAAAATGAGCTTATATCAATTTTTTATACTAGTATAGACAGTGGTTTCTGCAACGTGCCGTCATGACGTGGCGGTCGGTCATTAGACATCTGATCGGTAGTAATTTTGTGATCTTCAACGGCCAGATCTTCGGAACGGCATCCCCATCACCGTTAACGGAGTCAGCACCATGCACATGCGTGACACCAACAGAAACCGTACAAAACAAATCACAGCCGTCCGATCAAATCTATCAAGCCCATCCATCAACTCTATTTGTAGTTCACTAACTCTATTGAGTCTCGTAACAAAGATTCTGATAATATATATACTCTTCCCATCTTAAAATATTAATTTTTTATTATCTTAAAATATTAATTTATTTTTAAAAATTAAAGATTAAAATAATATTAATTTTTTATTTTATTTTTTAAAATTTATTAACAACACAAAATGTATAATTATGATAATTGATATTTTTTTTAAATTGTACTATTGATAATTTTAAAAAATTAATTTTTTTTTTAAATGTAATAATTACATTATTAAAATAAATTAAAGTTCTTAAAAAGACTATTATTTTAAGACAGAAGAAGTGTTATGTATATATATATATATATATATAGCAATGCTAGGTATCATGAAAAAACTTTCATGAAAATGATCATGAAAAATTTATGACCCTTGAATTACACTTAAAATAAAACACTACACACTAATCAAGGTAATCTAAGAGTCATAAATTTTTCATGATCAGTTTCATGAAAATTTTTTCATGATCCGTATCTTTTCTCTACCCACCCCACTACCCTATGCACCTGTGAGAAAGAAGAAAAAAAATTAAAAAAATACATAATGAGTTATCATCAGTCAATTGAGGGGCAGGGAGTAACCTATTTTGAGGAAGCATTTTTCTATATATAGAGAAAGAGAAAGAGAGATAGGAGGAGAGAGATAGATGGCGATGCAACAGAAGAGTTGGAGAAATAGCAGTAATGGAGGTGGGACATGGTAGAGTGCTGACAACGATGAGAGCTATGGAGGTTATGAGCTCTTCAAGTTCAAGTTCAAGTTCGTCTAAGAGAAGAAAGTTAGCGTCCAATCTTCATGAACAACTCCTTAACGTCAACCACCGCTACGTCCTGAATTCGCCGGAGAACTTGGTGTCGTCGTCGCCGGCTTCAGATCGCCTTGCGGAGGAGTGTGATTGTCCGAGAAACTTGTCCACCACAGAGTTCGATAAAGAAGGATTGGGATCCTTAGATCTGAATAAGGTGACTCTTATTCAAATTTGAATGCCGGTTTTTTTCTAGCTTAATTATTGAATTTCGCTTCTTAATTGCTCATTCTAAATCGTAAACTTGAAGGTTGAATCACAAGAAGCCTGTAGTTTTGAAAATGAGATCTCCACGCTCATCAACTGCAGATTCAGGTGAACTTTAATTTCTCATTTTAATTCACCTTTAAATATATCATCGAATCGACAATTCTATAGTTTCTTATCTTTGTAAATTTCACTTTGTACCGTATGAAACTGTGAATGTATACATGTATGTTTTTATAAATATTTGGTTGTTCGAATCTTCGTTGTGTAATTCATGGCACTTGTTTGTTTGTTGGTTGCAGAAGAGAGATGACTCCGTCAAGCGAGTTTTCGACAGACAAGGACGAACTGGAGTCTTCGACGGTAACAAAGCCATCATCAGCGGCGAGTCTCCTCCGCAGGAAACATCCAGTGGCAAAGATGCCATCAGCAGCGGAGATCGAAGAGTTTTTTTCCACGGCGGAGAAGTTAGAGCAAAAGCTATTTGCAGACAAGTAGGTGTGCGCAATGATCTGTAATATCACCATCACACGCTCACTTTAGAATTCATCGCAGTCACTTAAAAAATATATATTATTCTTTAATTCAGCACAGCTAGAATTACTGAAAAATCATCAATGTGAAAGAAAATGTTCACAACATCGTGTCTGCATATATATATATATATATATACATATAAACCGTCCAATTAGTACATTTGGGAGAGAAAAGATTAAGTATGAACTTAACTTTTGACATAGGTCTCGTTTGGCAAGAGACTATTTTAGCCAATTAGCCAAAAAGTTACTAAATTAGCCAAAAAGTCAACAACTCATACCAAAAAGTCAAAGATTCTCTTTTCTCTCTACTTTTTGCACATCTTTTCGTAATTAGCTAAAAAGGCATTCCAAACATACAAGTTTTTTTTACCTACCTTTTTAGCCAAATAGCCAAAAAGTTACTAAATTAACCTGTTCCCAAACGAGGCTATAGTATATAAAATAGTTACTTCGAGACTTAAACACATAATCTCAAAGTTATTAGATCAAAATTTTAACCATCGTTGATACAATTATTTATGATAGTATACTTTTCCTTATTAAGATTTTTACGTCACATATATAGATACAATTATTCATTCATGACAATGTACTTTTCCTTATTAATTTGCATTCAGGTACAACTATGATATAAAGAAGGATCTGCCAAAGGAGGGTCGGTACCAGTGGGTTAGATTAAAGCCATGATGATGAAGAAGAGAGAGAGAAAGCGAGAGAGAGAGAGAGAGTTGAAGAGGAGACAGTGACAGTGTTTCAATGACACAATGGACATCATTCTTCTTTCAGGAAGGTTATCCTTGTTACATGTATTAACTTTCTATCTATCTATATATGTGCAAAGAACCTCTTCGATTCAATTCGATTCGGGCACCACACTCAGAGAAGCTTCTTCTGGGATGATCCATCTCTTGAATTTATTTATTTTTTTCTTGTTTTTTTACACAATTTGATTCCTACAAATACTTGTTCTTTTTCTGTCAGTTTTCACTAGTGGTGGTGGTCCAGCAGAGAAAGTAATTAAAAGTGGAATTTATTTGAGCTTCGTTTGCTTCTTTTTCTAGATTTGTCACTTTCTATCCATCTTTAAGCCCAATTTTGCAATGTCCTCTTTTCTCAATGTGGGACTGTGTTGTGTGGACCATGGACTTGTAATTAGTGGGATCATGTACATGAGTGTGTTCTTGCAAAATATATATATATATATATATTTACAGCTCAGCCTAATAGGTGGGGTGCAAGATTTTACTGTTGTTTGAGAAGCGAATGATTGAGAATGAATATTTGATATTTGTGTATTAGTTGAAATTTTGTTTTAATTTAATATTTTTAATGACTTTTAAACTAAAATATTTACTTGTCAAATAATTTCTAATTCTCACTTTGCAATTTTCTGTCTCGTTCTCATCAGTAATATTCCAATCACACTTATTTTTATGAAAAATGTTTGAGGGCCACAAAATCAGTGGCTCAAATTGGTCGAAACTGTCAAAACGACGTCGTTTTGGCTTGTTTTGCGCCCAAAACGACGTCGTTTTGACAGTTTCGAGCCATTCGAGCTACTGAATTTCAGGCCACCAATCATTGCTGTATTTTTATACTCAAACACACATTCAAAGAGAGTGAATGTATGGATCCTACAGGCATGTGTACGTGAGACTCACTTTAATAATTTCATATGCATAAGGTCGATATCTCATGAGATGGAAGGGTAGGTTGTGAATTTATGAGTAGGAGTAGTAGGAGAGTTGTTCACTTTTTGAGTCTCTCTCAATGTATTTTGCTTTTTTGTACTTTTAATTATGTTTTTAATAAAAAATTTACTTTGTCAATAAAAATAAAAATAAAAATAAAAGTTTTGTATCTCATTTAATAAGAAAATTTGATTAAAAAAAAGAAAACCATCTATAATAGCATTTTCCTATTATGATTACCCCAACAATTTGAAAAAATATTGAGAGTAACAATGATAATATTCTTCGTCATTGGTCAATATACAGTTAATATAAATACAATTAAACAATAAGTTGTCTTCTATTAATTCAATAATATTGTGATTTCTTCCACAAATCAAGTTTGCTTATTGAATAGTGATATCGTTATGTGATATCATTGTTACAGCCATTTTTAATCCAACAACTTGGTTCACCCCTTTATGCAAGCAAATCAGTGAGACGAACCGAAAAATATTATAAAAATATGAATGTGCGAATGTGATATGTGCTATTGTGCAAGTAATTAAGCCAAAATTCATAGTTTCACACTTATTTTCAATTCATTTCACTGATTTGTAATTTCTTTTTATATATTTAGAATTTTATTCAAAAATATTAATATTTGATCTAGCTTCATTCCAGACATGCATCTCACAATATACTAATTCAATCTCAATCATACACTCAAATTCCAGTCAAAATTCTAGACTAATTCTCTGAGATTTAATGAAAAAATTCTGATGACTAATGACAAAGACAATGGGTGCAATTGTGCAGCTCATACATAATTGAGAGTGCTTGGTCTAAGGGAACCAAAGACAAAGAGGACAGCAGATTTGTGCTCCGAAGCCAAGGGCATTGTCGGGAAATAAAAGAAACAGATGCATATGCATATGCACATTGTCTTATTAGGGTGAAACATGCACGGAAAAAACTTGTAACCCCATGTGAGGCCTTTAAGATTTCACTCTTTATAAGTATATATTTACTAAAAAAGCTACAAACAGTGTATACGCAATATAACAACAGGAGCTCACGTGCTGTGATGATGTGGGTTGGCAATTGCTTTGGATCTGATGCTCAAATTTTTTGAAAGACGAGAGAGAGAGAGAGAGAGAGAGAGAATGTTACTACTTCTTAATGAAGAAGAAGTTTTGGTCTCGATTCAAACGCTTGTTGCCGTTTTCTCTGCATTCGAAACTGATCTTTGATCCTTACCTTACTTAAAAGAATTACTGCGTGTATTTCTGTGTTCTAGTAGATTGTTGTTGATTTTTATGTTAATTTTGGTCTGATCACTAATATTCTATTTTCACATGCCATAAATGATCAATTCAGATACATGCCATAAATGATCAATTCAGACCTTTAGCATAGTTTTAAATAGCGGTATCGGTTAACCTAACGGTATCGATCGCGGAGTATCGGTATTGGTAGTATCGGCCAGTACGTATCGGGAATCAGGTATCGCGACCGTGAAATTTTAAAAATCATTAGCAATTCCTCTAAAACTAAATTTTATGCATTTTTTTTTACTCTTTTAACCTTAATTTGTTACATTTTAATCAAAGTTTTGATATGTAAGAGCATTTTTTGACTCATTTTCAACTAAATGATATGCATTTATTTTTGGCATATGTTAAACTTTTAATAAAAAAGTTGATTTGAATATTTATTTTTCTTGTACTGAGAAAAAAATAAATATATATATTAATATAAAAAGAGGTGTAGGTGTATAAATAAATAAATAGGAAAAAAAAAAAACTTAAACATTTACAATATAAACCCATGCCCCTTCATGTACCTAAGTACCTCTCTTCATACCCATTTCAATCTCAGACTACCAATGCACCTCCATGTATATTCATTTCAATCTCAGACTCCCATACCATAATACAACCACAAACAATCCTATCCCCTCTCTCTCTCTCTCTCTCTCTCTCTCTCTCTCTCTCTTAAAATGTTGACCGGAAGTTGCAGAATCCCGCCAAACCTAGACAAATTCAACTTTAGATCGACGACAAGAAAAAAAAAATCAGAAACAGAGCACAACAACAACAACAACAACAAAAACAAAAGCAAATCTGTATTGGATTGTATTGGTCCGTATCGGCCCATGTATCAGATTCAAGCCGCTACGTACCGGGAGTCGGACGCTACAGCTGTGAATTTCATTCTCACCGGTATACCGGTCCATATCCGAATCGGTGCTGTTAGGTTTTTTTTTTGGCAATCCCGTTTGACAAAACTCCTTTGAGTTGTAATTTTATTCGCATTTTTATTTCAGTGAGGCTATGAGTTGTTAGATGCGAATCCAACCCGAATCAAGCCTTTCAGAGAAGTTTGTGATGATAAAGCTTTCAAGATTGCCACTTCGCTGATTATAACGGGGATCGAGCTGCTCGGTCAGCTCGCAGGGGTCCAAGGGGTAGCGCCACGACGGGGTCGAGGGGCAGCGCCCCCGAAGCAAAATGTAAAAATGCATTCCAAGTTGCCTGTCCGCTCGAGCGGACATTACCCTGCTCGAGCGGAGAATTCCTGGTTTCAGCAGTTTTGGTCGCCTGTAAAAGTACTGACATGTGTAATTTTGCGCTCGAGCGGACCTCTGTTATATCACGCGCATATTTTGCTGAAGCCGCTCGAGCGGGCTGTTGGGCACTCGAGCGGAGATCGCGGGACAGATTCTATAAATTCACATGTTGGGTCAGATTTTAGGATTACTACTCCAGATCTTCTTTTTGGGTTCTATGGTTTATATCTGGGGATACTTTGTGAGTTTTCTTTGATGTTTTGATTGAGTATTCAACTGATATTTTAAAGAGTATACATCAAAGGTTTTGTTTGTTCTACAAAAGAGAGAGTTGTTCTTCGGTGGATTCTGAAGAATTCAAGCCTGAAGCTTTGGTGGATTCCGGGGTGGCTCATCGTAAAAGACAATTCCGAGGTGAAGACGGGTTGGAAGAGGCACATAGTGGTTGGTTCAATTAGGCGTGGATTCGCTAGGTAATTGAGAGTATACCTGTGTAATTCCTTTAAATCTTTTTAGTGGATTGTTTTGTGGCTGTTGCCCGTGGTTTTTTAATCACAGTTGGAGGTGTCCAATTGTGGTTTTTTCCACGTTAAAATCGTTGTGTTAATTTGTCTTGATTGTTTAATTTGGATTGTTATATACTGCTTAAAATTGTTACATAATCACAAATCAATATCTAGGGGATTTTTAGATTTTTCAGGTGCTATGATTTTTCGGTACGAATCGGTCGGTACGGCCGATATTTAGAACTATGACCATTAGTGTTTTTATTTCTTAAATTATGAATTTATCCTCTAATTATTTACATTTTAGACAAAATTTTAAAATACATTTCTTAATCCACACCACCACCAACAAGCTATTGTCATCGTCGTCGCCGTTGCCATCGCTGCGAAACCCCCTATGTTGTGTACTCCCTTGCACAACTAATGCTCCTTTGTCCTGAACCCTCTTAGGCCAAAAAAAAGGTCCCATTTGAAATAGTAATAAAGATTGATGGTACCAGTAACTAGATGACCTATGGGCCAAACTAGATGACATACGGGTAAATCGAATAATGAAATATTGAGCCAACAGTTACTCAAGATTTTTGACAGTCTTAGATTAAATATTCAAATGAAACTTTATTTAACTAAGCCTTTGAACTTAGCTTGTCCAATTCTACTGTTAACAAGCCCTTAGCCCTTATTTAACTAAGCCTTTGAGGTCTTTTTTCTGCATCTTGTTTAGAATAGCAAAATCCTTGATCAAACTATCAGATAGTCCAACCTCACAAACCACACTCTTGTCGTAATTAATCTTGCGCCCTGAGACCATTTCAAAGCACTTTAATATTCTTTTCAGATTAAGCACCTCCTGCACAATACAACCACCCCATTGCCTCCAACATGTACTCCTTTTACCAATCCCATTTTCCTAGCTCTGAGCAGTAGAATATTGAGCCCTTCGACTGCCAGATTAAATAGAAAAGGTGATTTGAGCCCTTCGGCTGCCAGATTAAACAAAAAAGGTGATAATGGATCACCCCGCCTGAGGCCTTTCTGAAGACTAAACTCTTTAGTTGGTGACCCATTCACAAGAACTGAGATTCTGACAGTGGAAATACACTCTATCATCCATGAAATTCATTTGGAACCAAAACCAAAATTTGATAACATGGAAAACAAAAAGGCCCAGTTGATGGAGTCATAAGCTTTCTCAAAATCGAGCTTGAACAGTAACCCCTTCTTCTTGGCTTTCTTCCACCCATCCACAATTTCATTCGCAATCAAAACCAGATCCAAGATATTCCTTCCCCCCAGAAAAGCTGATTGAGTTTCACTAATTACTTCTGACATAACTGGTTTAAGGTGGTGGGA